ATCTTATAGTGAGCTTATTGAATAGCTTACAAACATCAGACGTGGTTGATGGTAAGTAAAAAGGATTATAGGATGGCTGGCATGATCATCTTATATTATAAGGTTCTTTGCCTAACGTGTGATTGATACTTTTTTTTTCCTTCAAATACAAGCTACTCAAAATGGAAAGTTGCCTCCACTGCCTCGAAGCTCGGAGAACAATGGAAGTGTAAGTACAATCAATGTAAAATTAATATAAGATCAATTATGTACTTGGTTCGTTTAGCATTTTGCCCATGTGGTTTTGTTGGGTGATCAATAAAAGTGGTTGCTCGTCTCTGATATTTTAAACGAACTTAATAAATGGCTCGATATTGTCACATTTGGCTTTGCTTTTTCATTCAATATTCCAATTGAAACCCTGTCTGCAGAAATGTTTTTGAGCAATTGCTAATCTATCTTCTCATGGACAATATAAAAAGTAAAGCAATTTAAAAGTGATATGACCATAAAAATATTAGTCAATGATTATTCCCTCGAGTTCTTATTTTCTTGCCCATATATATTTCTTTTTTTTTTGTTAGTGTGTGTATATATATATATGGCTTATTTAGGGTGAAATAAATAATAGAATATTCCAAAATGAGGTTAGAAGTGGGGACATCCTTTGGGATTTGGTGATTTGGTTTGCTTCCTCTTGGAACTGCTCGAAAGTTTTCTAATTATTCCTCATCTATCTATGGTAGCTTCCAATTGGAAATTGTTTTGTAATCCACAACAGGGTTGAAGGTATTAGTCAAAGGGATATACTTACAAATCTTAAAAGATTACATTCAAATGCTTTCATAAATGAGACAACTCCAATTAAAAAAGAAAATAAATGTGTATTGAGATTAAGTCAAGATGTCGGGTAGATCGGTTTGATTTGGTTAAAACTAAAGTGCTTTCAGATGTCGTTTGCTCTCTAGTTTGTTTGCGATCTACAATAATATTTGTATAATTTGGATGTTTTTATTATTTTTAGCCTAGCTATACTCTTGCTTTCAGTTTTTCTTTCTCTTTTCACTCATTTTGGAGTTTTTTTTAACAAGATACAGACTTTTTATTTACCTTATATAGCTTACATTACCAATTTTTCTGTCTCATATTGGAAAAATAGATGCAAGTATATATGTATAGGTATAAAGAACCCCACCCATCTGATATGTAGAATTCCTTTGTTTGGCAGGCTGAATCAGCCGCTGTTGAGAGAGAGCGTTTACTGATTCGGAAGGTCTCCGAACTTCAAGCTAGGTCGGTTCTCTAGAAATTTGTTTTGAATATTTTTCCAGAATTTCCTTCAACACCACAGTGTTATAGATGTATAGATCACACCAAATGTTGTAGTGTTTCACAGTGTTTCTCTTTTCATTCCAGAATGACGCATTTGACCTATGAATTGACTGCTGAAAAGTTGAAATACATTCAAGTGAGTCGTCCAAGTTTTTATTCTTTTTCAAAAAATAAGTAACTTGTTTATTAGTTAAATTCTGGTATTTAGACTGCCACTCTTGTTTAATCTTTTGGCCTACAGTTACAAGAGCAGTTCAACTCAACATCTGGTCATGACGAAAATGAGATCAAGAGGGAAGAGAACGTCTGAAAAGGCACGTCCCGTGCTACGACTACTGTAAAGTATGCCGCTGTATACATCTGGGAGAGAGCAATAAGTATGCAGTAAAATTGTTTTTGGGACATTCAACTCTTTGGAGAATGTCTATTGTTGGCCTGTTAATAGCTCTGTCGAGGCAAAGCCAGCAAACCATTTTTCTCAGCCTCCCAATCGCCATCTTCATTTGGCTCTTCAGAGTTGGCAGATTCCAGGTCAATCCCGAGTGGCAATCGGCTCTGAAAACTCCCGTGTTGCCGGGTACGCCGTCTAACTTTCTCTTGTTATTTTCTCGGATGGCTATGAGATGGAAAAAGGCCCTTGGAAGCTTAGTTTGTGATGAACCAGCCTCCTACATTAATATTTATTTGTTCATATGTAATAATGAACTATATTATTTCATTCCCAAATCCAAAGGACCCAAAACAAGAAGCTTGCAAACGCAGGCTGGCCTGGGGCTTTCTTTTTTCTTCTCTGTTTTTATGTCAACCTATATTCCTCCTCTCCTCTTCATCTGTTTTTTAGATTACCAAATGTGGTTGTTTTATACAAAGTTTAGCTAGTAATAATGTTGATTATAAATCTGGAGATGGGTATATTCCTATTCCTGGCTTGAACTTGAACTTGCACGTGTGGGTATGTAATTGTATCCCCAATTTTCTGAGCTTGAGCGTTTGAAACTTTGGTTTTCTTGATTTTCTTTCTACTCCATGCAGCTCCATCTTGGTCTCTCTCCACTAATCCTAAACTTGTGGTTTCATGATCAATTTCACTTTTTGAAGGTGGTTTTATTCATCCATTTTCCCATGACACTCCCTATCAATCTATAGGGATGTTATTTTTTTCTGCGGATGCCCTCTAAATAGGACGGGGAATTCCCGTTTAGGCTCCCGGCGACAAAATGTTCCCAACCGCTTGGATGTTTATGAGGAATACATTCACTGTCCCCTCCCCATTTCTTATATATATAACCTAACGAGGCTCTTAATTTTGCCTAACCACCGACCCTTCTAGATCCCTCTCTCTTAGATTTTTCCTTCCCTCCCTCGGCTCCTCTTCTTACGCTCGTCTCACCCTCAAAATCCGACTTAGAAAATTTAACAATATTTTTTTCAAATGAAGATTCTTCATGAGAATTTAACCATTCAAATGCAGCTTTACTATGGAGAATTAACTTCTAAATTGGAATTTCTTAAAAAAAAATGGAATAATTTCCCGTGGAAAACACGATCTCTGCATGTTCCCTACTCTCAATTCCTGCAAAATTTTCCGTTTGCAAGGATGAAGAGTGAAATGGGGGTGTGGATAAGGGACAGGAAGCCGTCCTTGTTTCAACCTTGCCTTATGCTCTAATAAGATTATTTAGGGTTTGCTTGAAAGTGATTTTGACATGATTTAAATTATTTTTGTTATCGTCAAAATCACATCCATTTAAAATTGTAATTTTTGACAATGATATATAAGTGGTTTTAGAAAATAACACACTCCCAAATATGCTCTCAGCTATTGATGATAGTTATAGTTGATTCATTGGTGTTAGAACGTCAGCTCAATGACCCAAAAGCAAATGATCATCCCTTTTCTCGCTTGCAAAAGCCTATCTTGCCTATTGTGTTGTGGAAACAAACCATATCAAGAAGAAAAAAAAGTGAGTCTATCTAGCACACTCAAACCATGTAAATACCTTTTTGCATTTGTTAGTAGTATGCTCATAGAACTCTCTTCTATTATTGAGTATTACAAAATTCTGTACCTCTCTCAAACATTCTTTACACAAAATGACAGAGAGATACCCACTATCTTCTATCGTGGGTGTATTGCAAACTAAAAGGAGTTCTATAAAAGTTGGGATATCTTGGACATGAAACAACTACCATGAATATAGCCAACTTGAGCCTATTAAACAACTTAAAACCTATTATCATTGCTAGTCTTGAAACTGAAAATCTCCTCGTTACTGACCAAATTAATGGAAAGAATTTTATCACAGTGCTTGGCCTTCCAATGACAATTGAAACATTTTAACATCCTGCTAAAATCCACTAATCTATCATCTGCTTTTATCCTAGGAGTCAGCCTTGGAGACAAGGAAGTGGTAGAGAAGGTCTAAAGGTGGGAGAAACCAAAATTTCTTGAAACATATCATTCTTGCCGGCAAATATTTTTTATATTACTGATTTGACTAGTAATTTACTTGGCATTTCCAAACTTGAGTTTGAAGGAAGATGGTTGTAGTTAGGCTAAACATATGTTTTAATTTCAAATGTTGGGTTTTTTTTTTTAATTTAATCTCTATTGTTTAAAGAGTTTCAAATTAATCCTTATGTTTTAAAAATTTTCTATTTAATCCCTCAATATTAGTATAACATAATACTTAGCGTATTTAGAGGATAAGAAAAGTCATTTAAGAGATAAATTTCTAATTCCTCTAATTCACTCACTATTATATAGTTTTATTATCAATGGAAATTTAATATTCATTAACAATAAATGACTAAATTGAAAAATGTTAAAACATAAAAGACTAAATTGAAAGGATCCAAATATGAGGAACTAAAACATATGTTTTAGCTTTATAGCTAAAACAAAGCGTTTTGGTCCTCCTTGTCCAAGCCAAATTCCCACTCCATTTCCAAAATAGTTGGGAAACTACCCTATCTTCCCAATTTTTTTTAAAGAACTTTAGTATTCCAAAAAAGCCCTCAATCCACCCTATCCATGGACCCACATTTATACTCTTAGCCTTAAACTCTTTTTCCCAGTACACTTTTTTTTTATTCCGAACCAGCTTGCGCACACCTCGACTAATCTCACGAGACAACTGTTTGATTCTACTACATTTGGTTGCCTAGATAACTCGTAAGATATTAAATACACCATAATTTGAACTCTTCCTAGTACACTTAGAAATCAATTTGGAACCCTCACTTCCTATCTCTCAAAAGTTGGAATACCTTCCAAACATTCTTGTCCATATACCAAACTGAAAGCAAACAGCATCGTATAGTGTAATGATTGACCTTCTATTTCCATTTCTTGATTACGTAATCACTGCTACCAATAAGGATTGAGCCATCTAGATTTGTAGAACTGAATGTATTAATCTCTCAGCCTATAAAGGCATCACTAGACTCCCTGTCGTTTTTTTCAAGGCACAGATCTTTCTTTTACTCTGTAGGATTCCATTCTTATTGCTGCCATATCACCTTTATGAGTGAGTTCTCTGATCCATAATTCTATCTGCCTAAAGATTCCTCCTAAAATCTGATCTGATGATTGGCGCTAACTCGAACTTTCTAAGGTCCATTTAGCAGTCAAATCCTGCTCGAGATCAAAGTTTCAAGAATAACTCAGCAGTTACTTTCGGCATACAGTTCATGAAAACATCAGGTCATGACCGATACTCAAATGAAAACCGTATATAGCTTGGAGTTCGATAGCATGAACTTCGATCACGGGAGTTTGACCTTCCTAAAACGAACTTCATTTCTAACTTACCTATTGTATTGATTTCCTGATAGGAAAAGGGCTTAATAACCTCATCTTGAAACAGTAATCCAGGGCAACGGCAGCAGAAATAAATACATAAAGATTTTCAGATATATACACAGCAGCATCGAAAGCATGCGATGAGAAACTCTCAGCATTAAGTTCCAGAGGGAGTCCACCATCCAGCGTTGCAAGACCTGCATTTATTAACAATATAACTTCCTCACTCACTGCGTTAAGATAATTCAATTCTTTATTCAGGGAGCCATTTTCAGTACCTTTAACAAAGCCAAAAGCAGCAGATGTCCCAGTCTTAAGCTGAATATTGTCCAAGTCTCTCCTTATCGTGTATCGGAATGTGACTCCAAATAAGGCACAGCTAATAAGGGTGATTGCTGTAGGAAGTACAAGCTGAGATGTGTTGGTCGCCTGAGTAAGAAAGATTGGCAGTCCAGCAAGTGTGCCAACAATGGCAGATATGGAAGCTGCCTTTATAGACTCCAGTCTCTCTTCCTCTCTGTCAAGCTCCCCATCTTTTCTATTGCTAATAGCATCTCCACCCTCACTTTGCGAAAGAGAGCGCTCGGCCTCCTCAATCATCCCTCTTGCCTCCATTATCTCCTTTTGACATTCTGCGATCTTAGATGTGAAAAATGACCAACATGTTATTGTTATTTATAGTTGATATTAATATAATTGTTATTTGGAAGTGACACCCACATATAATTGACTTCGATAAGTGAGAGACTTTAGTTGCTACACAGCCGATAGTTCCTGTATAACCTCCAACGCAGGCAATGCAACTGCGGATACCATTTTTTCTAAATAAAATTCAGAACGGTCGAGAAAAGAAGAGGTGAAATTTGTGAAACACACCCTAGAGCATCCTTAATTTCTTGGTTTCGGATGCAGACAGATTCAATAACAGCCAGTTAATACCTTGAATCCTAGAGCATCCTCGATTTCTTGGTTTGCATTTAGACAGAATACAAAACAATGCTTTGTCGCACAATAGGAGTGCTTGTGTAATAGGGATTCGCTTGTCAACGAGTTCCTTGTCCATTTGCCAAGATTTCGCATATCAAATGGTACATAAGAGATTAATCTACAAACCTTTGAAACTCTATCTTCAAGCTGGTTAATAATCCTTAACTCCTGAGTCCTAACGTATCCTTGATTTCTTGGTTTGGATTCAGACAGATAACGAAAGAAAGAGTGCTTTATCGCACAATGAAAGTATCTAAAATATTAACCAACAAACTTCTGAAGCTCAATTTTCAAGCCTGGTGAATATAATCCTTGAATTCTAGAACAACCTCGATTTCTTAGTTAGCATTTAGACAGAAAATGAAAGAAAGAGTGCTTTATCTTACAATAAAGAGTATCTAAATTCACAGAGTATAATCCTTGAATCTGGGAGCACCCTCAATTTCTTGGTTCGCATTTAAACACGCAGTAAACGAGTGCTTTGTTGCAAAGAGTATCTAAAACATTAACTAACAAACTTCATGAAACGCCGATTTCGAGCTGGTTAATATAATCCTTGAATCCTAGAGCATCTCGATTACTTGGTTTGCATTCAGACAGATAACGGAAGAAAGAGTCCTTCGACGCACAATAAGATTATCTAAAAGATTGGATAATAAACCTAAGCCTGTTTTTGAGCAGATTAATATAATCCTCAAATCCTAGAGCATCCTCGAAGAATCATTTATTGCACAACAAAAGTACGTAAGAGATCGATTAACATACCTCCGATGCTCTGTTTTCGAGCTGGTTAACATAATCCTTGAATCGTTTGAGCTCAAGTTCTTGTTGCTCGATCTCAGCGAGCTGCCTCTTGGCGATTTCGACTCTCATCGACGCCTTCTCCAAGCCATCAAGCAAACCTCTGTTCTCCTCCTTATTCAAGAGTTCCTCCACTTGATTACCGACCATGCTGGACAAAGCATCCTTCAAATTGACATTGTTTTGAATGTTTTCCTCTCCGCCGTTCGATTCCGAGCTACATTTCACGATTTTGAGACGCGGTGCTGAGAAACTTTTGTGCAAAATCTTCGTGGAGGAAGAATGTGATATGAGAAACTTCCTTGAGATCGCGGCGAAATGGATTGGATTTGATGGAGGACGCAATGAATGTTTGATGGTTGCAGACATGGCCGCCTTCTTGCTTATCCGCTTTCTCCTCGCCTCGCGAGTACAGAACAATGAAGACGATACAACTTTTTCTAAGCCACATATTTATTTATCAAATATATATTCTTTTGGACAATTTACAAATTTTTACCCCTAATATTATTCCTTTAATACGTGATTAATACATATATTTTCGAGCAACGACTTTTGATCAATAAATATAGACGGGTAGATCTGACTTTTGTGTGGGTCAATGTGTATATCATCTTTGAGATATCGTTTTGTTTGATTACAGATTGGCAAGTGATTCATCGTTTCGACTCATTTAATCAGTCAATCGTCTTGATTTTTCAGAGGATCTTGAGTTAACTTCCTTGACGATGTTGGATGATAAAGTAAAGATTCCAATATCTTTTTAGTATTTGGATTCCTAAGATTTACTTGATCAGGGATTTGAACCCCACCTCAAAAGTAGATTTGAACTTACATAAGGAGTTAAAGCTCAACCATTTGAACGTTTACTATTTCTCTTAAGGTTGGACGTTCAAATCTATGTATCCCGTATATTGTATTCAAAGTAAAAATATAAGGTATTAAGAAAATGTAACAATTGTCCTATCCATTTAAATCATGCTTGGATTGACAACTTATGTTACTCCAATACACATATTCAAACTTACTCATCAACCCATAAATAGATAAGAAAAAAAATATCAATTATAACTAAAATTATCTTTTATAAAAAATTAACTACTGAGTTAAGATATATAATCTTACCAAAAAAGTTTAGAGTTAAAATAGTAAGCTAAAATTTTTAGTCCCTGTACTTCAAGTAATAATTTAGTTTATGCTTCTATTAAAGTAGTAATAATTACTCATTGTAATTTAGAATTTGTAATCATCTCTACTTAATCAGATTTACTTAATCAGATTGCTTATTGATGGACAATTAAAAATTTAAAAATTTAGAATAATAAAGATATTTTAAGGGTAGTTTTTAAATTTAGCCTACTTGTTTTTTAATTACTGTAAGAAAAAGAAAATAAAACCCTGAACTAAAAAAATAAAAAATAGTAAAACCCTAAACCAAACTCATCTTCCTCCTCATTTCACTGACCAAACTGATCTCCTCTGTTCCTCCAGGCTCCAACAATGGCGATTCCTTCCTCCTTCACCATTTCTCCCTCCTTCCTCTCTTCTTCCAAACTTCTCCCCACCAAATCCCTCTCCTTCTCTCGCTCCGCTCCATTTCTCTCTCCTTTCAGAACCCTATTCCCCATTTCATCCAATTCCTCCTCCAACCCCTCAATTCCTTCCCCCATTGATTCCTCAGATTCATTCGCCGCCCCTTCCCCGGCCGTCAATCGGAATCTCAAGTCCCGTCTCCGCAATGGCGACACCCTCTACGGCCTCTTCCTTCTCTCCTTCTCCCCCTCCCTCGCCGAGATCGCCGGTCTCGCCGGCTACGACTTCGTCGTCGTCGACATGGAACACGGCTACGGTGGCATCTCCGACGCCCTCCCCTGCCTCCACGCCCTCGCCGCCGCTCAAACAGCCGCCATTCTCCGCCTTCCCGAGAGCTCCGCCGCGTGGGCGAAGAAAGCGCTAGATTTGGGCCCGCAGGGTATAATGTTCCCGATGATCGATTCGTCGAAAGAGGCGAAGAAAGCGGTGTCGTACTGCAGATTCCCTCCCGCCGGAGTCCGAGGATCGGCCCACCCGGTGGTCAGAGCATCCAAATACGGGATTGACGAAGGGTACTTGAGCAATTACGAGGACGAGTTGCTGATCATGTGTCAGGTGGAATCGGAGCAAGCGGTGAAGAAGATAGAAGAGATAATGGAAGTGGATGGCGTGGATTGCATTCAAATGGGGCCATTGGACATGAGCGGGAGCATGGGGTATCTATGGGATCCGGGGCACAAGAAGGTGAGGGAGATGATGAGGAGGGCCGAGAAAGCTGTACTGCAGAGCAAAGGCGATAATGGTGAAGAGGGTGCCTTTTTGGCTGGATTCTCAATGCCCCACGATGGCCCAATTGACATGAGAAAACGTGGATATCGGATGATTTCTGGGGCTGTGGATTTGGGTTTGTTTCGAACTGCTGCTGTAGAGGATGTGAGAAAGTTTAAGATGAGTGAAATCAGTGGCTCTGAGGATGAGGATCAGCCGCTAACTCACATTGAGGAGGATGAAGAAGACAAGTACTGGAGCGAATGAAACAACCTTTTTGTTTTTCCATCTTTTTGGTATTCTTCTTTATCTTTCAAGTACATAAGTAGAGCTTGGAGAGTTGCATTTCTTGACATGGGTCTTTATAAATCATGCTCATATGTGGATGTGGATATGCACTTTCTCCTGTTCTCAATGTTTTTACATACAATTTTTCAGTCTACTCTCTTTCTTCTGCTTACTGAAACTCGGCTCATTGAGTCATCGCCTAGTTTTTGACTTTCCCGCATTGAATTTTTACAACTTCATCTTACTACTATAGGATTGATTGATAATCATGGACCGAAATATTGGGTACTGTATAATGTCACAAGGCCATGTGAAAGGAGACAGGTTGGCTTTGGTGCTTTCTGTTCTTATTGGTCAGAATCACATGTGATCATTGGTCAATGTTTGCCTCTTTTCCCCATCATAGCCCTCTATTTCTATAGGAGTTTGAGAAGTTGGGGGCATTGGGGTAAAATCCTCTTTCAGCATGTGGCCATTTTGCAACTCCCAGTGTCAGCTGCCATACTTTACAGCAGCAAGCTGTAATGTAAAAACTAAAAACGTGCCCTTTTTTAAGGGTCCTCTGTGGCTCTCTCAAGTATCAGGTAGATTTGGGAGAGGAAAGAGGCAAAAAAGTGGCGGTGAAGCTATTATGGCGGTTCCTGAAAGCTTGAGATTCCATTTTCTTCATCAACTTGTGATTCTATTGCAGATCCATAGTGTAATCTGCTACCAGTACAAAGTTGGAGATTTGGATTCATGGGGTGTCCCCACTTCAGCAAATCCACAGATCTACACGCATTGGTCCAAATATCACTCTCTCAAGATTGGGGATTCTCTGTGTAAGTGCTTCTTCTGTTTCCCATTTCCTGATCTTGTTCCACTACTTGAGCTTTCATTCTGACTCTAATGGGGGTGTGCAGTGTTCTTGTACCCACCAAGCCAAGATTCAGTGATTCAAGTGACGAAAGAATCTTACAACAGCTGCAACCTCAAGGATCCAATCCTGTCCATGAACGATGGCAACTCTGTTTTCAACATCACTGATTATGGGGAGTGGTTCTTCACCAGTGGAGTTGCTGGCCACTGTGAGAAGAAACAGAAGCTTCATATTTCTGTGCTTTCTGGGAATGCTTCTTCTTCTGCAAACGCTCCCTCTTCTGATGGCGCTCTCCCCGAGATCTCTCCCTCTTACCCCACAGTTTTTGGCGGAATCCCAGCGGCTCCCAACGCCAGTTCTTCCTCGCCAACAAGAAGCTTTTTTTCACCAACTTTCATTGGAGCTTTTGCTGGACTTTTGATTTTGATCGGATGAGTTCAAGGTCGAGATTTTATCAAGTTACAGATGGGAAAGGAATTCTTTTTCACAATCTTCATATCCTTATACTTGTGTTTTTAGATGAATATTAATTCGTATGATGCTTTTGCTCTTGCTTTTGCTTTTTGGCTCCGATTTTCACGTAAAGAGGGAATTTTATGTTTCGACACACTCTCACGCCGCCCCATAGTTTTGGTCTTCAAATGCATAGGCGAGCCAGCTATGTCCAAATGCGAATCTCAGCTGTTTCCATATATAATCTAAGTTAAATTAATTTTGCGTCTAAGGATAAGCTGTTTCCTCATTAATTATTCCTAATTAATGAGATGTTTATCTGAATTTCAAGATCTAGAAACTTATTCAAAACTTGTGGCCACTCTAAAAGATTGGCGATTTAACTTATTAGGCATGATTGTTACAATTACACTAGTGTCGTGTGTGACGCAAGAAACTAGACAAGTGATATGGACATGTTTTTCAAGTACGTAAAGGTTCACATGTTCATCATGAAGCAAATAGGATCGCACACACCCTAACATCACTTGCTACATGCTATCTAAATACTCAAATGTGAGTTACTGAAGACTTGTTTGGTAATATTTTTGTTCTTATTTCTTCATTTTTAATAAAGAAAAATGAAATGCATTACCCAAACATCAATAAATATGATAAAACAATCTTTTTACTTATGTTTTGGAGTAAATTTTGGAGAATGAGAACAAGAAAGAAGAAACTTGTTTTTGGTAGTTCTCAAAATTTATATAAGATTTTGGGAATGTTCAAAAAAAAAAAAAGAGAAACAATACACAAAGTTCATTGTAAAGTGTGGCTTTCTTAAGAAAATTAAAAACAAGAAACGAGAACGTTATCAAATAGAAACGGACTTTGAGTTCCCCCTTTCACTTTCGAATTTGGTGAAGGAGGATAGAGTCCTCACATGTAGGCCAAGTGACTCTTAATAAAGCTTTGACGGCAAAACTTGCAATTTAACCTATAATTTAGTGGAAATTAAATTACTCTAAAGACAACTCTCAATTAATCTCACAAAACAACCATCTAATTACGACATTTAATCGTTAGTAAAACTTGATCTTGATATTTTAAATGACCACCATGAAGTTTGAACGGATCGTAATCTTCAAATTCCTTCACCATTCCTTTTGTTCTCCCAATGACCCCTTGGCCAACTAAAGGTGGATTACCTCATCCTTTTTCTTTAAAAAGAAAAAAAAGGAACAATAAATTCTCTTATATCTTATACAAAATTGAGTTGACTGACAACTACTTTTGCTCATTTGACCTACACTACTGCATATATCAAAATATTGAAACATACAAACGCAAGTAAAACTAACACAAAAGGATACAGAACAAAGGCAAAGACTAAAGTGATTCTCCTACTGCAATTGCTTTATCTGGGGTACCTGCTCCATATGGGACCTCTGGAATCGTAGGGTCCCCCCCATAAGGACCAGCTGGGGGCTTTGATTCTGTTACTGCAAAGGGACTCCTGAGTTGAGCAGCAGCCCCAGAATCTATCTCCATTGAAGCCCTTGGAGGGGACGCTGGCTGGACCTCCACATTTGGGTATGCCGCCTTGAACCTTGCTCTTAGCCCTTCGTCCACCAACCGCGCTCCATTCAGTTGGTTACCAAGAGATATCCACCTGAAAAACAATGTCACAGAGAGTCATATGATGCTTGCCTGTCATCAGAATTTGCAAGTTAAAAGGGGGAATGATGATTTATAACTCAGAAGCAGAAAGAGTATTAGCAACCTGCAGCCACCTAGCTATTTCAAATTTGTCGAACTTTCGATTCCATTTTGATCCCTCAAAATTTTCATTTTGGTCCGAGCTTTCATATTTGTTCTATTTTCATCTTTGAACTTTCTAAATGACTAATTTAATTCGTGAACTTTTTAAGAAGATAATTGTTTTGATTCTTGTCCTTATTTTGCTTTTAACATATTGGATACCGTTATTTCGAGTATGTGTACTAACGTGTTATATTGAGTAGTATTAGGTGGCAAAAAATATATCAAGCACCAAAATTGTTGTTTTTTTAAAGTTCAAGAACTAAAATAGATATTTTAAAAGTTAACCTAAAACCTTAGGACTAAAATAGAATTTAAATCTAAATAATATAATCGGTTTCTTGAGATCATAGTCCATCCAATAATTTCATCTCTTAGAAAACACTCATATGAAGCTTTATAAAGGAAAATAGTAATGATAATACAACAAATAAGTAATAAAACATACCCTGCATGAGTGTTGTGCATGCGAGCAAACAATTCTAGCTTTCTTGTCCTCGGACTTATCCTCTCAAGCAAAGGGTACATCTGCAATCATGCGTTAACTATAAACCTGAATTTCTCATTAATAGAATCGAAGAAAAAACTTCACGACAAACATGTAGTATCTGAGGCAAGTGGAACTCCTATTCATTGTTTTGAAAAGTGTGATTCACAAAGACCCTTGTAGGGCACCTCGCTTCTAGTTCTAGGAACATGCCATTGTGCCTCAATGTTTCTGTAAACCTCAAGAAATTAAGAATATGTTCCCAAAACTCTCGTTTTCTAAAAATCTCTTGCAACAAGCTCTAGTTTCATTATCTTGTTATTCACCCTTCTTTATCTTCTCATATACAAAGGATTCATTCATATTTTTCTATTGTGCACCCCAAAAGAGACCTTTTTTCTTTTCCTCTTCGTGGTTACGGCTCAAGCTTTTATGCTTTAGCGTGCCTCACATGAGAAGGGGAAACACAGAGCAATTACCATTGTCCTGGACAATATTTTAAACTCCAATATTCCAAGTGAACTTATGGAGGAAAATTTGATGGGGAGGTTTAGCAAGAGAGAGACTGTACTAACCTCATCTGGTTTACGGCTCGTTTCTCGAACCTCAGCAACAACAACATCTGTATCAATGTTCCTATTAACTTCTGGATTTCCCTTTATCCCAACAAGGCAATGCTCCTTACTGTGATTGAGCCAATGGCCTGTCCGCCCTGTTCTAATAATTCTTTGAAGTTGATTAGTCTTAACCCAAATTAGCTCCTCAACACGCTTGTATCCCCATAGTTCTAAACTGCAAAGAAAAAGTAATATTTTTGTGAACCAAACTAAAGATAAAAAATCAGCATATATTAGTTTCTCAGCAACACATGATTGATTGTTCAGAAAAAAAAAACATATTATACAGTTACTATAGCCGACAGATACTAAGTAGTGAGCACACACCATTCTCTTCCGAGTTCCATTGCACGACCAGTGACCCAAAGAAAAATCAGACCATCAGTCTGTAGTGCAGGAACATTAAGATTTCGCATTTCATCATCAGCCATTGTCCCATAAGGCAATTCCATATGGATGTCCCACGGCGGATCTGCCATTATGACTCCAAATTGCCCCAAGATATCCATTCTAAAATTACGAATATCGCAATTAATCCATTGTGGTTCACCAAGTTCTACCTCTGAACAATATTCAGCTCGCTGAGGCTTTAGTGGTTTCGAAGGAGTAATAGATGCAGCCCCCATCGCCATAGGTGGCACATCTTGAATTGGATCAAGCTCGTAGTGAACATATTTGCATGTCTGGAAAAAAATGCAATGTAGCACCATCATTAACAAATTGATCAATGAACCCTTCCTGTCCTCATAATATTGTGTGTTGGGGAATGACTTCCCCGAGACAAAAAGAAAGTGTTAATGTTTCATTACTACGAGATACAATCCTTAGGAAATATATATGTACCTTCATGTGCCGACAAGTATCAAGAAAGGAGCAATCACCAAGATTGATGTCAGTATGAGGAGCAATTATTCGCCGAAAATGAACCTGCAAGGCATTTTGGAAATAATTTGAGAACATTATATATTCAGTTCATGATGAGTATAACAATGTGAAACATTGCAACACAGTGAAATAAGTTGGAGAAACTACCATTTAATAAGAACAAATAAATTGCTTATCAATTCTAAGGTTACTTTTTCTCGTTAAAAGTAAAGGACGCTATAGGTCTGCCGGAGTTTTTTTTGGAGACAATGACAGTGCAGGTGGAAAAAAGATTTACAAAAAAAGGAAATAGCAAAAGGTCAAGACACACATGTCTTAAATCCTAGTCCACTAACAGAAACCAACTGATATCTTATGAGTTTCCCGACTCACATTCTGAACAGTTAAACATTATTGGATTGGGCAAGGTGCAAACTAGCATGGGCTACTAGGCATTATCCCAAGAAAGAACATTTTTTACTTCTTCATGAGGACAAAATAAGCCAAGCGACGCCTTAAAAATGACCAGCATAATGATTTACACAGTACAAGAAGACTAAGAGAACATTGAGTTTGGTTCAGCATGACTCCACTCATACTTAGATCCACTCTGCCTAATGGCCTTTGACTCAGATAAATAGCCTGAGTCAGTAATAACTAAACTAGAATTCAAAACTTATAATTCTTCTATGTTAAATTTAATTCTATTTGATATAAATAGCTTGTCAATTACATCGTAGGAGGTTTGTTTACAGGTAAAACCTTTGTAACTTTATAGTATACCCATAAATTGGCAAGTTCCTATTTGAAAGATGCAAATTCTTAACCGCCGCAGTTTCTACACCTGCTCTCATTTTACCTTTTGTCAAATATGTAAACATATTGAAGCTACAATATTAGGTCTTTTTCTTAATTAGCCAGTGAATAATTAGAAATTTATTACATAACTTTCAATAATTTTATAATCCCAGCTTTAATTATTTTACAAGCTCCTATATTTTGTTTTCTTTGTTTTTCTTTCTTTTTTTTCTTTTTTTATATGAATCGGAGCGACAAATGGCCGAATTCCTATATTTTGTTTTTTGAGCTTGATACTGATTCAAGTCACTGAAACGTATTTGTCCCAGAACCCTCCAAATCAATGACTGATATCACTTGGCATCTTAGAGGAAAAGGCATATTGTGACAATAACCCAAAGAATGAGAAATATGTATAGAGAAAATAAAGGAATATGTGGCAACCTTCAAGAGCATACCCAAGTATACAAAACAAAGAAAGGAGGGAGGGGACGGAGGGAGAGATCAGTTAGGAAGTATATCAGGATCATGTAGATAATATAGGGGTAGATTTTTTATTTTTTAAATATCCATGAGTATCTGGACCAGCTTACGCACATCTCGACTAATCTCACAAGGCAACCGCCTGAACCTACAACATGTGGTGCCGAAAAACACATAGGAATTATTAATTCCTAAGGTAGGTGGCCATCATGGGATTTGAACCCATTCTCACTTAATTGGCCCTATCCATTTTGGACTAATGAGCCACCCATGATGGTGGGTAGATTTTGAAATCTCAATTATCTGGAAGAAGTAGGATCTCTTAGAGTACTCAGGATTGTTTGCCTTTATTTTGCGGTTCAATGCAACTTACTTTCTATCATTTTGACAATATAACGGTATGGTTGCTAAGAGAAAGAAACGGAGACAAGATTGAATTACACAAATGTGCTAAGAGTTGAACAAGTCATTGGAGAAGGAAATGGAGAAGTGGTGGTGAAGTATGAGGTAATGTGGAGAAAGGCACCTATTGACAATGCAGCTCAAGAAGTAGTTGTGGAAGCCAAGAGGAAGTAGTAGTAGAACAAATGGGAGTTCACTGTTTGAAAATAGAGTGTGGAGTTCGAGATGTCAAGTTTTTCAGGCATAGCCTATATTCGTAGCCATATGAAGTTGAATATTGTTTCAACATCAACTGAGGAAGAGAAATTGGAAGACACATCACTTTGCTCTAAAGGTAACGTCTAGAAATGGCAAAGTGGGCAAAGGGAAGGCAACCATTTCAGAGATTACTTAAATGGTTTAGCCCCATGCTGGAAGGAACTTTGATGAGAAATTTCTTAATCTGGGGTAGGGACAATATTGAAGTTAGTTCTACTCAAAGGAGTATTGGAGACTGGAGTTTATTTCGAATAATCATTTTGTCAAGGGCATAAATAGGAGATTAAGGTTGAACTACATCTGTTTCATCCCCCTAGGCTTAGGGGTGCAAGTTGAAATTAAAATAAATAAATAATCAAGGGGGGCAAAAAGACCAAATCAACTAAGTTCAATTGGGCGCGAGTAACATATGTGATATAAGGGGGTGCAGGGATGATCTGTTAGCAAGTATACAAGTATGATAAAAATAATGTAGGGTTGGCTTTTGGAATCTTAGTGAATTGGGACGCAAATCACTCCAATATTCTTTCCCTTTCTTTCCTGGTTGAATCCAAACTAGTTTCTATTGTAAGCATCCTCTACAACGGGACGTGTAATTATGCATACCATATTATGGACAACTTCAATACAAGCCAGTTATGCAAATTCACTTTCATCATTTATGACAATGAGAATGATGTAAATTACTATTCCTATGATCATATCCTTTCCTTAAAAAAAGAAAATAATAAGCAAAATAAGTTTTTACATTATTAATTTAGAATAAATTTCCATGCAACTCCACCCTGAATCAAGAGCTTGAAAATACGAAACGTGTCACAGTATATTATAAGCAAATTAATGTTTACACTATATTATAAGCAAATTAACGTTTACACTTTACAGTTGTACGAACCTTTTCACATGCAATAAAAGAGCCAGATTGACGCCGGCAGTCCTCTTTTGTTAAGGATGAGCAGTATTCCTTCAGTTGTGAACCACCTTTAGTTTTAAACTGGAGCAAAAATTAATAAATTTAGAAGATTCGTTAGAAGCCACCAAATTAAATTGTGGGGATGGGAAAAAGCATCACAACAGGACTCCTACGCCCTGATTTACAGGGAATTACAATACAATATAAGACAAAATTTTCTCTTTTTGAGGATAAATAAGGAAAAAACAGTTTAACTAGGGTCCAAAACATCAGAGACAGAGGACTTCTCTTGCAGTATGCAAATAGGAGTCTATCTTCAAATAACACAGCAGCAGAAAAGGACAAAGGTTGCTTTTTTCAGCCTAATTTTGTGTGTTTGGGAGAGGGGGATTAAAACCAAGGCTTCTCTAGCATATACGATAAGAACATGGCCAAATTTGAATCCATGCCACAGAAAATAAGCCATGAACCTAGATTTACATCATACTTTTCAGTTTACAAGCAATGCTTTAACTCGAGGATTTCTCTAACATAGCAACATTTGAATCCATGCCACAGGAAAAAATCCACGAACGTATTTACATCATACTTCTCAAGCAATCTATATATACCTTTGCTGCCACAGCAGTTTCCCTGGCAGTTGGCCGGTGAATGAGGTCCAAAAGCTCCTCGCCAGTCTTTGACTTCTGCAATTCTCTAAAAGACTTCTTGCTCAACAAAGCCTCGAGATCCTTCATGTCATCCTCTTCAGTTCTAGGTTTCTGCGGCATTGAATTGGGGCCAGCCATGGGCACATTTGGTCCCATCAATGGCCTATGCAACGGCGGGAGACCCATCC